GTTAATAAGATTTTGTATTAACTACGAACTTTTTATTTCAATTCAGAAAATATCAATTGAAATTGAGATTTTCCATTTGAAATTCAGAAGAGAACATTTGAAAATGGGATTTAGAAAAGATAAATTGAAAATGAGAATTTTCATTTTAAATTGAGAACATATCAATTGAAAATGAAATTTTTTATTTGAAATTCGGAAAACAACAATTGAAATTCCAATTGAAAATTAGATTTTTCATTTGAAATTCATAAAAATGCAATTGAAAATGAGAAAAAAAAATAAATGAAAATAATAATATTACATTAATTTTAACCAAAGAATGTTTATTACAAGAATACTCATCTCGATGTGCGGGTTGTTATGAATTACACGTACTCTTTATGTATCACGACCCGCTATTGAAAATTTATCTTGTATGAGACGGACATTCTATGTTCTTTGTTTTAACTTAAGGTTGGAAAACATCCATACATATAGTTTTCTGGATTTCAAATGAAAAATCTCATTTTCAATTGAATTTTTCTAAATTCCAAATGAAAAATCTCATTTTCAATTGGAATTGCCTGAATTTCAAATGGAAAATATCATTTAAAATTTTTGTTTTCCAAATTTCAAATAAAAAATCTCATTTTCAACTGTTCTTTTCGGAATTTCAAATGTAATATCTCAATTTCAATTGATATTTTCTGAATTATAAATGAAAATTCCCATTTTCAATTGCTCTTTTCAATGTTTCAAATGAAAATTCCCATTTTCAACTGTTCTTTGCTGAATTTCAAATGAAAAATCCCATTTACAACTGACCTTTTCGAATTACTGTTGAAAATGGTGTAGTTACAATTTTGTAGTTGTTTGTATCTATTGTGATATGGATTGAAAACTCTTACTAACGTGTCATATACATAGTAGTCTATCTATATACATACATAAAATTCTATTGACTGCTTCACAATCTGACATACTGATTGGTCATCGCACAGACTAAACCGTTGAAGCTAAAGAGCTGAAACTTGGACAAGATATTGTTCTCCCGGGATTTTTTGAAATTCGAATATCTCATCATATCTCCTAAACAAGAAAATATACAAAAACAGTTTAAAGCTTTTTGTCGTTTGTGTCTGGTACTTTTGTCAAATTTGGACCCTTTAGGGAATAAACGGGTAAAAACTGCATTTTAGTATTTTTTTGCGCCCAATCTATCTTTTAAACCAGTAAAAATACAAAAAGTATATTTGACTCCTTCTTAACTTATCGAAAAATTAAAAATACGAATTTAGTACATTTTGGACATTCGGACATTTGTTCCTATTACTTTTTTCATAAAACATTTATATTTATTTATTTGTCCATTACGATACAATTACAAATTATATTCTAACCTAATTTACCGAGCACTGAAAATGACCATACGCCCTTTGTAGTGTAGCAGATCAGAGTCTATGGTGGGAATCGAACCCACAACTCCCAGACTTACAGGATGACACTTCCAACAAGCCTACCGGGGCACACGATAAAACATTATTTCCTATGTAATATGAATAGCTAATGGTAGGCTCACACTGCGATATTGCAATTTTTTGGAATAAGATATGTACATATATGAGGATTGGTCCATAATTGATCCTACCGCCCAGAAAAGGTTCCCTTCAGGAAATAACATTAAAGCTCTTAAGTGAATTAATAATACAGCGATGAAATCCGACATACTATAACACACCATAAGATTTTAACCAACTGAAATCTGTCTTCTAAATTTTATAAGGATAGGTTTATAATGGACCCTACCCTCATATAACCCCACTTACATGAAACCGGGTATGGTTATAAAAATTTAACAAAAATGATTGTTATTAAAAATTTATATTTATTAATTCGGAAGATCTCAGTAATTAGCTTAAGTCCTTATTAAAAGCCCTATTCCAATTGTTACCCTTATGTTCATATTAAGTAATATAATATCCAACATATGTATCGTTTCATAAATGTCAAAGTTTATTTATAGGGTAATTTCGTGTTAATGATTTGATGTTGGGTATAAAAGATTCGGCATAGATGAATATAACACTCTTAGTTTTTTTGATTTGATCCTATGAAACAAAAATAATAAAAATATTTGTTATGTTAAACATAAATTTAAGTTAAGAAAACATAATCCTAATTTAAAAACTATTAAAATGTATTTTTTCATAATATTTGTTTTTGTTAAAATTACTACTGGAAAATCTCTTGAAAACATTTTACGAAAAGACAAATACATTCATATTTTTCCCAGATCAGTTTTACAATAACTCCAAGGCTACCAATCTAAAAAGGATGGTACTTATAATCTTGTTTTATTTTTTTAGGTGTTTTATATGTACAATGTATGTATATATGTACATACATATGTATATGTATAATACTCACACTTGAAGGTATACATAACACCAATACGATATATTAAACTCATACAAACGTATGTACGTATATTAGAGTAATTCGATTTTTTCCTTTTTATGTGAATACATTTGTATTATTTAATATGGTGGCCCTTAAACTCTTTTCATTTTCATAATCTTGATGTTTACCTTAAATGTTTTGAAATTAAAATTGGATAACATTCCATCAAATCGAAATTGTAATATTCATAGTTAAAAATTAAATAAAAATTATTATATTACTTTAATTGAAAAACTTAAAACTTTTTTTGAATATTGGAGAACAATAATAAATTTTGTAAGCATTAAAAATGAAAAATATTTATTTTAAGGACCAGCCTAATATGTACATATGTATGTATAAGTGTGTTAATATGCATGTATGAGTATTTGATTGTATTTATATTTTTGGTGATTTGGAAAATAAATAAAACAAAGGAATTATAATAAATTGCTATTGTGAATTTGTTTGTTTTAAATCAATTCAATACTAAAAACTAAATAACATGACTGACTGCAAAATGTAAAAACACACTTATGAATACGTACGAGAGTAATCTTAAAAGTAGTTTATTTTTATGGCTAATGATAAAAAAATTTCACAATCGATTAATTTACGATAGTTGCAATTTTATAAGTATTGTACTATACTGTTGTTGTATAATCACTTTGAGGTGGATGTTGGACAACCACTTTCTGTTTTAAGGGTCCCTCTGATTCCATAGTGATTTCAATAGAAAACAGTAGACATATCTAGATCGTGTTGAATAAAGTATGTAAACATCAAGACAAAATCAATATGTACATTCATATGTATATCTTGAATTTCTGCGGAGGGAGAAAAATTACAATTTGCAATGGAAAAACTTCTACTCATACTTAAAGGACTTTTCTGACGACCAACATCAATAAATGTACGTGTTTACGTATACCTGTAAATAGGGATATATCATAAAATGCATGTATGTTTATAAATATATAATACAAAACTCATAATAGTATTTAAAAATGTTTATGTATGATGAATTGCAGGCTTCTATTGATTTCGTTGAGAAATGCATTTGTTGTCAATGACTAAGCAATTATTCAATTATTTTGACATTGATATAAATGACACATTCCCACAAACAATTGTACATTAAAACACCCAAATACTCACGCACACACAGATAGAATATGTAGTGATACTAGAATACAACAAGTCAAAAAAGTTTCGTTTTCAAACTTCAATGGCAGATATTTCCCAAAAGAGTAATCAAAACATTTACACAATACAACAACATTCAACATCCAACATCCATTTAAACATGAAATGAAATAAATACTAAACATTTTAAACAAACACATGTGTCTAAATTGTATGTACATATACATACATAAGTATGTATGTATGAGTTATAATATCCATCTGTAATGCATGTATACTATGTACGTTTATGTGTTACAGAATAACAAACTTTTTTCTGTTGTTTTTTTTTCGGTTTATTTCTTTTTTTTTTGGATTATGATGAACTGAACTTTCGAAAAAGTTCAAAACATGAACTTCATTAAAGAATATCGAATCTAACAGCAACAAACAACAACAATAACAACAGCAAAAAGGTTTAATTTAATTAACTTGATAACAGGAAATAAACTGTTTCTGGCGAAAACAGTTTGGATGATGTCGAATTTGGGTCAGTGAAATGAGTGAATCCCATCAAAGTCAATGTGCGTCAATTTTCATTACAATTTAATTTCGGGGCAAAACAAAAAAAAAAAAATAAAGAATCAGCAGAAACATTTTGCACATTAAAACAAAATGTTAAACACCAACATTATTGTAGATTTAAAAAAGTACACACAAACTTTCATTTATACAAACAAACATACGTAAAAAGTTAATGTAATTCGGAAATCCGTGTTTGTATTTCAAACCGAAAACTGTAATTTTGGCATGTTTAGATTTCTGTGCCAAATGGATTTTTGTCACAAGTTCAAATTAACTAGAGAAATGTTATTTAAAAAACGTTTTAGAAAATAAGCATTGAAAGTTAAATATGCTAATCTTTTTAATTTAAAACTATACAAAAGAATAAATTTAAAAATTAACTACTGTTTGTAATATTTTTTATATTGAAAAATTAAAAAGTGAGATTTTTGGTAACTTTTAAAGTACAAAATGGAAGAAGGTCACAATTTTTTGAAAAATCCTTCTAATTAGTATTAGGATTCCAAATAAGTTATTGTCACAAAGTTAAGTAAACATGTGTATTGCAAATTTTGGTTTTAGCATTGGATTCTTTTAACTTTTTCTCCGTTTAAACCATTTTGCACATCGAAATTCGTTGAGGAGGATATTCATGTAAAATTTACGCAAAATGTACATATTTCCCTAGACAGACTGATGATCTATCTCATGATATATCTAATATCATTCAGAGTTCTATAAACAAAAATTCTTTTCGTTATAATCAGATTAAATTTTTACTCAAATCCCTATGAAAATGTTTAGATTACTTTGTATTTGGAATCTCTTTATTGTGATTTTATAAAAACACAGTTTAATAAAATATTAATAATAAAGTAATAAAATAAAATTTATATATTTGCGTAATTGTGTGTATATTTTTTGTTTTTATTTGGATTTTGTTTAAAAGTACGAGAAGGTCAACATAAATTATGAAACAATAAATTTTGTCGCCATTAGGGTTAAATCTATTTTGACATGCCGCACTGCTCTCGTTGTTTCTCTTTCTATGTTTGTTTATTTCGTGCTTTTTCCTCCTTTTCGATTGTTTCGTTTCTTTGACTCAATGTTTACAGCCTCCATTACGACATGTGCCAAATTTGTAAATCACTTCGTGGTTATAACATTCACCCGGATTTAAAATGATCGATGGGAAATTGGGCTGAAATGGGACATGGTAGAAATTGATTAAATTAAATTTTCAATATTTACGTATAATTGTATGTATAAAATAAAAAAGAGCAACGAAATCCTTATGCAGCTATAGATTTAGTCCTTGTTGTATTATAATACAAGTAAGTAACTATGTGTGTAGAAAATGAAGTTTTTGTGTGTAGGAAAAATGGAAAAGATATTTAAATGATGTAATTTTGAGGAGAAGGTGGTGGTATCGGGAACAGCCTCTATGTATGTATATTTGCATGTGTGTGATGGTGTGTACACTTTGCTGCTTAAGGATATCAACAGCAAACAATTACAGGATTTACACCCTGTCAGACAATAAGTCAGTGTTTGACAGCTAAAATAGACTTTAGCACCTCAGGAGTGTTCTTTTTGTTGTTGGTGCTGTTGTAACCCATGAATAGTTAACAAAATTTTGCTTAAAAGTCTATGGAAGTGGAAAACGACAACAGAAGGACAATAACCAGATATCACTGTCTATTTGTAGGGCAAACAGGCTGAATGGCAAGTTCTTGTTTCCCTAATACTCATGTCTTCTTCCTCATCTTGGTCTTTGTTCTTTTTGTTTTGCTCTCATCTATCCCTCCCATCGTTTGTTGACTTTATGCAAGATATTCATTTGCTTAAACGTTCTTCTGCTTGTGTTTGTACCATATTGTTGTTATTGTTATTGGTGTTGCTAGTGTTTTTGTTTTTCTATTACTGCTTTTGCTCCTTATGGGCAATGGACAATGATATTGAAAACTTACATGATTGACAGCATCGGGATACTTTTGTGTCTCTAAACAAAAGGCACCTTGTTTAACATACTGGGCCTGACTTTTGCCTTGTAGGGGTGTCTGAAAAACAAATCGAATATAAATAAATAAACAATTTACTGATTATTTTCTTATTGCAAATTTAGTTACATAATGAAGAATATAGAATGTAGTCTATAAAAGCGTATATTAAAAACAGATTAACCATTTACAACATGATTGTCATAATTTCAAATTTGAAATTTTCGTGTTTGCACTAGTAACTTTAAAATCTATTTAATTTCCTTTTTGGAAATTCAGTTCAAGTTTCTGAGAAATTTTCAATGCCACATTAAAACCTTTTTATAATGTAGTTTTTAAATAAAACAAATGGATAAGATAAACAAACCTCATTCTATCTCCATTCTTCTTTTCCTTTTAGTCCTTATAAAATTACATATTTATATTTATGATTATAATAATTATTATGTTTGTATTGCTGTTGTAGTTGTTTGTTTTAGCGAGTGTTAAAACAAAACATCAGGCAATTTTAAGCAATTACAATTTGTGAAAATATTCCCATTCTTCTATTTTGCACTTTGGGAATGTGTGTGAGTATATGCGTTTGCTTTTTGTTTAAATGGCTGTTGGTTGTTTGGCAGGATTCTCTGCACATAAGCCTTAAACTTTTTATAGCATTTCACTGCCATGGTGGTTACATTCTTACTTACATACACAATTGTTTATAATGTTTATTATAGTTGTTGTTTGTTTTTCTACTTAATATTATTCTGTTGTTGTTATTATTGTTGTTTTGTAGTTTTTTTGAAAAAGCATTGTTTTACTTGTTTTTTTATCATTTCAATTCCTTTAAGGCATAAACTTTTGTTTTTTTTTGTGTGTACGCTTTTTTGCTCTTTTCAACAAATACAAACATATTACTTGAAAAAACAAGCTCAAGTAAAGGCATACATAAAAATGCATATACGCACACAAACTTACATATATGTATATATATAGACTGAAGCTAAAGTGAAAAAGAGGATCTTAAACAAGGAATTTGTATTGAAATACTTTCGAACATCATCAACAACTACAACAGCAGAATGCAGCTACAATAACATGTACGGGAACATTAACAACAAAAGTAGCGACAATGACAATTGTAAAAACATTTGAAACAACAAGTTGTTTTATTTTGCCTTTTGTCGCTTTTGTTACTACAAGTTGCATTGTACTGCTGCTGTTGTCTTTGCTGCCATTTGAGAAATAAAACATGCATTTTATACATTACGTGAGCTGTTTGCAGTGTTTGGCAATAAAAAAATTAAATACGAAAGACAGTAAAACGAAGATAAAACAAAATAGAAGGGCCAAGAAGACAACATAAACAGCTAGACAATTTGACTTATTGGCTTTTTATTTTCCCATCGCAGTAAATGCAATTGTAACTTGCGGAATTGGTCAAAATCTTGTTTATGTAAATATGCATGTACATATCTGTATATACATATTTACACATAAACATACTCATATGTATCCATATGTATGTATGTACATTAAGGTGGTTTCATTTATAGTATGAAAAGTGAATACATAGCATCGTATTATGATGCTATTTAAAGTGCAATATTGTGGTTAAAATGTATTCTAATAATATTTTGGCTTTAAGGAAGAGGCAGACGAAATGCATTACTTTACATGTTTTTTTAATAATAAACATAATTGTCAAAAAATGTAAAATGTTGAATTTTAAATAGAATTCGATTATTTTTGATACGAACTGCTTATAAAGTTTGTATACTGGTACATATGTACGTAAAGTTTGTGTATGTATGTATACATACATACATATTTGTATTTGAAGTATTTTTCTTCGTCTTTAAATTAAAAATACAATTTCATATTGTTGCTTGTTTACTTGTCTCATCTTTTTACACAAACAAATGAATGAGTCAGCAAACGCACATGAAGATTAGGATGACCCCAGTTATATGAAGTCAAATAAGTAAAATAAAATTACATATTGCTTTCAGGGACTAGGAGCATCTTAAATTTTATTTATACTTATCATGGGATAATAAAACTTAATAATTATATCACCAAAAAACGCTTATAGCTATAAAAAATTCTAGTCGGTATGGTTCCTTAACTTATTTCCGTTATGTCTTAAATGACGGCTTTATTTATTCTATGCATATTTTTTTCATTTATCAAATAATTTTCGTTGAAGTGCCATTATCGAAATTACTTAACATACCGTTATAACGCCAATATAACCTAAAATATTGTGAATTTCTAAGGTATCATAAAAAGCTTATATTCTGAAAATACATTAAAATTCATGAATATTAAAAAAAAAAATTACAAAAATGTAAGAAGTCGATCGTTGATGAAATAAAATCTATTTATATTTTTATTGAATGATCGATATTTGGAGATTATAATTACACAATTTAAAATCTTTTTGAACTTTATTTCAAATTTGTTTGGTGGTTATTACCATCAGTTACAAATTTGAAATTTGCTTAAAATTAAGAAATTATTAAGATAACTTTCATAATAATCTAATAGATTTTTAAAAGGGAAAAAAGTGAAAATCTCACTTGTTCCCTTTGGTCCAAATTTAAAGCATTTTTAGTGTCATCCTAACGCACATCATACATACATACATACATACATACATACATACATATGTATGCACATTCACCCCAACAATGCACTCGCTACTGTCCCTGTCGTATGAGTGATTTTTATTGCAATTGGTTTTAATAAAAAATCAAATTGTAAAATGCTCATACGTTATGTTGGGCACGTGAGTTTTTATTATAGTTGCATGTGTTTGTGTACATATGTACATATATGTATGTATACTTACGTATGCATGTAAGTTTGATTATTTGTGTTTGTGGGAAATAGAGGAATATCGTGTGAGTGTATATATGTCTGCATTTGTGTTTATGATGACATTTTTCATATTCGCTTGCTTGTTTGTATTTGTATATATGTATGTACTCCTGTTGTTGTTCTTGCTACCATTGTTATTTTACTGTATTCTGTTGTGTTTCCTCTTTTGTTTGCAATTTAATTTTTATTTTGTGTTTTGTATGCGTAGTCAGCATAAATAACTTATGAATAATTTAATTTTTTCGTACACAACATTCACAATATTTGTATAGATATTTTCATTCTTTATTTTATTTTTTGCGTTTTGCTTCTTAAAATAAAATCATTAATGTGATTTTGTATTTTGATGCATGTATCATTTATTCATCATTCATACATCATCCATTCATCTATTGAACTAACCAATCACAAAGGTATTAAGATTTACACAAAAGATTCTTCTTCATAATGGGTTTCTTTAAATTTCCGTAATAAATAAGTTGACTTAGCTATTGCTTAAATTGCTCGTATAAAGTTTGTATTGGTTAGATTTTAGATTGTATATTTACTTCAATAATCCTATTAAATATTAATGAATATCAATGGTTTATGTATAAAACAAATTTAAATACCTATTTAAAGTTTTAGGCTGGGTTTTACAGTTTATACTTAGGGAAACAAAGTATACTTAAGTTTCGAAAATTATATATATGAAATATTCATAACTTAAGTAAACTTTATCCTTTAGTGTGAACTATAAAACCGTCCAATAGATTTTTCCTAATTATTTAAGTAAATAAATGTTATCCTAATTTGTTAAACAATGTTAAATGTTCTAAGAAATTTTAAATTTGTAAAAATTAGATTTATGAGATAATTTACTTGAATTCAGTTCAGAAATTATACTGCTTAACTACTATTTTTGTTTGTGCAATAATTACCTTGAACAAAAGCTCGAACTCAAGAATTTTTATTCCTTTATCATATTTTTTCAAGTGTTTATACATATGTATGTATGTATAAATTTATACAAAAACAACTCATGTATTAAGGTAATAAAAAAGTGTCTGTGTATGTAGCAACTTTTTCGGGATGTTATGTTATAAAAGAGTATGATAAGTAATTGCTTAATATTTAAAATAAGCGACCATCTTGTTACTGTATTGGTAAAATCTCCCATTAGTTAAATAATTAGCTTGCTCAAATTTCATAACATGATGCGAAAATAATGTTTTATGTTTAATGAACAATGCAGTTAGAAAAGATTTTAAAAACTTCTAATTGAAATGGCATTACGGGTGGCCAGTTGCCCGCAGGACTTGTCCTGGCTGGTCAGTTGGTTGAGGTTCCTTCGAGATCCACGTAGTGGCTGTTGGGAGAGAATGTTGGTTTAAGGACTGACCATATATGTCCGGATTATCTCTCCGGTGCTGTTGCCATCTCAATAGATGTCACTGGGTGATGTGACAGAGCAACTTATGTTGGATTGCTGAACCCCCGTTGAGTATCTTTTACTCTTCGCGTAGTAGGTAGCCAGTATAGGTTGGGGAATTTTCAGGTTGACACTTGGTAGTTGCCTGTCTGTGAGAATTTAACTGATGTAAGTTGGTGAACGATCGGGAAAGACTCCTATGCCCGACAGGGGACTAGTACTGATTTAGTAGACCTTTTACTTCAGGGAAGTTCTCGATGCTGTTGCCATCTCAACAGGATGCATATTGTTTCATGCTTCGCGGCACATGGTTGAGGTTCACCACTCAACTTGTCGGGGCACTTATCGGGTTCGAATTGTCTTTGGAAATTCCTACATCCTTTGTCACATTATCTTACATACAGAGTGATCCTGATTTATTGACTGGGTATTTCGGTCTACCAAATACGTCTTTAGGTGCTGTTGCCTACTCAACAGGACCATCTCAGTAGTGTGGTTGCGCGGGCTTTAGAAAGTTATGGAATGGACTGGAATGGGTCATTAATAGAAGGGGATTGCATTTTAAATAATGCAATCTATCACGGCATCTAAAGGGTGGTTACCTTCTGGAAGATTGTTTTCCCCTGATTGATTTTTACTTGTCGGGTTTTGCATTGGGACGGGGCTACTATGGCAAGAGTAGTTCAGCAAAGTGCTTGTACATGGACCGACACATCCATTTACAAAGATTGCCACCTGAGTTCTTCATAGACGGATGGCCTACCACCGTCCCAAGTCTACCCAGTGGATGAAAAAGACCACCGTGAAATAAGGCCGTCAAGGCAGGTGTTCACGTTAAGCACTTAGACATTCTTGTCCCGAGGAACAATCTTTTTAAAAATCTCAGAATCGATGAATATTAATAAACTAAACACTGATGTATGGTTGAAACATTTTTAATTATAGCCCTAATATGGATATACTACATAAGTAGACATCAAATTTATTCATATTATTCCTAAAGAAAACAAGAATACAAAAACAAACAAAATTACTAATTAACCATAAAAGTATTTAAACGCCTCCTTTTTACAACACGCTAATAAACCTTGATGTTGGTTGTTGCTTGTAAAACGCCAGTCAATAATAACAAAAACATTTTAAAAACTTATTAAACCGTGCATAAAAAGCATTTATGCTCTTTTTGAAGTAAAATCATGTAGAATAAGACGAACATCAGCAGAAAAGCAACAACAACAGAAACAGAACTAAAAAAGGCACTGAAGTTTTTAATTAAACGATTGAACCAAATTAACAACCGAATGAATGAACGAAAGCAAGGAAAGAATGACTGGCAGGACAAACGAAAGGACTAACTTAACACCAGAGCGTGCCAAACTGGCAAAAAACATGAATGAATGAATAAAAACAAAATTTAAATGGGCATCTAAAAATCAAAAGCAAAAAAATATATATTTATATGAAATGGGGAGAGTGTATGAGTGTGAAAGAGAAATAGGAAAAAAGTTAACGGTATTCAGGCATCATTGGTCAATAAATTGCACTTATTTAAGCTTAACTTTATTTTTCTATAACTTTGGTTTTCTGCTGAAGGTATTTTTGTTGTTGTTTTCCAACAAAGTTTGTTTTATTTAGCCAACTTTATTATTGTACTTTTTTTCGTTTTTGCTTTTCATACAAATAAACATTTGCATTAAAACAAATACATTATTTTGTGGCTTAGAGAAAGAAAGAGAAAAATTCCAAAAGGAAGTGACAGAGAGAGAAGATGGTGGTTTTTAATTAATTTCATTTGATTGGGGTTTGTGTTGTTTTTTCATATAGAAATACTTTCCGACATCATATGAATTTTCAAAAGTTTTTCTTTAGTTTACAAGGGTTTTATTATTGTACATGCTCAAATAAATGAACAAATGAATAAAAATGAAATAAAATTTGCAAAAATATTCTCTAATACACAAACATATGCATACATTTATTCCTATTTGTTTATGTATATTTACAAACATAAATAAACAAATAAATAATAAAGTTTTTAAACGAAAGACTTTATTTTCTATTCATTTAGCACATGTTTTACAAATATCATATTTAAATTAACATTTAGTTAAAATACGCAACAACAAAAATAAAAAATAGTAAATACGAATAAAAATTTAAAACTTACCTCTCCTTTTGTTGTATCGGGCATATAATTTGCTGTATAAAACTGCACGCCTGGTTGGTTACTGGCAATTTCTAACCATCTTCCGGTTTTTGGATGATAAGCTCTATTGAATTTTATTTTATTATTTTGTTTTTGTTCATTAATTCAATTTCATTTTCTTTTCATACTTACTTGGCTATTAAGCTGACACTTGTGTCATCACTGTTCTTTTCCACACAATAGTTGTCATCATAACCATTGGTGGCAGGCAAAAGTTTCTTTATTTGTTCCCCTAAATTTTTCATTGTACGTAAATCGTATAAAGTGCCTTCGACATTTTTAAAATTACCAGTTGGAATGGACTCTGCGTCAGTTTCAGTTATTTTGTCTGCTTTAATCATGATTGTATGTTCAAATATGGCTTCTTGACCGGCATTCTAATAAATCCAAGGGAAGTAAATAAAGAAATTAATTTGGAATTATTATCTCAATTAATATCGAATATAATATGATATAAAAATTAGAGCGATTGGAATAATGTACTGGTTTTATTTACTAAAAATCGTTTGTGAATACGAATAATGAACTTTTAATTTGCGAGCTACATTATGAAACTTTATCGGCTAACAATGTTATAGTTTTAAATTGACCATTAACCATACATTCGTTTCAAATAAAATATTTCCCCTACAAAAATATAAAAATTTAATAATGCATTATGTTTACACAAGACAAATATAAATCATTGCACTTTAAACTTTTTATATTCTATAATATCAAGAGAAAATGTCAGCAAATAAATATGTAAACGTTTTAGTTGTTATATCATCAACTAATTTTATTTGACTACTCAGTATTCATTCTGCTAAATTTCCTGTGATCCATTTTTATAATCACTCCATAATTCTACATGTGTCTTTACCTAACACGTTTATTTCCTTTAAAGATTTTCTTATTTTATTCTCTTGTTTTTGAGCTGCTTACATATACCGACCGACAAACTCACAAATTTTCTTTTTGAAAAAAAAAAAAAAATCCAAACATTTCCTTCCGACAATTTCAATTTCAATATCATTTGAATTTTCTATTTCCTCTTGCAACATTTCATTTTGCAGCCACCAGCCAACCGACCGACGAAAATGTACCAAACATAATCCTCAACTCAATCATTCTAAGCACAACGGACAAAACCCAACTAAAAACTAAACTAAACATATGGTGCAATTGTTACTCCAAGTACCAAAAAAAAAAAAAAAAAAACAAAAACTAAAGGGAAAAATTTAGAAAAATAAAGAAAAACAAAAAGAAAAATAAAATGATGACTACGATGACGATAATGATAATAAAATGTGAATACTTACATGTCCGGCCAAATTGAAATACGTATGATTTGTCATATTGACAGCCGTAACTTTAGTTGTCTCAGCTTGCATTTGTACGTGTAGACAATTGTCCTCGGTCAATGTGAATTTCACCGTTGTGGTTACTTGGCCCGGATATCCTTCATGACCATCCGGTGAATAGTGTTTGAGTGTTATGCCATCTTGGTGTACGGCTTCCACCTGCCAATGGACCTTGTCGAAGCCAATGAAACCACCATGCAATTGATGTTTATTGTTGAAATTACGAGAGACCTGTATCTCTTGACCCTTTAGTGGAATCCGACCGTTGGCAATGCGATTACAAACTCGACCCACAGTTGCACCAAAATATGGATTACTTGAAGTTTGGTAACCTAAACACATACATACACAAAAATTAATAAAAAGTGTAAGCATACGAGAGCACAAACATAGACATTTATATAGTTTAGTTACATTTATTATTGTGTTTTGAGTGTATCTGTACTAGCAAAGTTGTTCAAACGTTGGCACGTAGTGAAAACTTTAAACGAAGTCAGTTTATAAATTTGTATAAATTTAATCCATTCCATTTGCATTCAAGGTAGGGATATAAATATTGGTTTAACAAAGTAATTTTGAACAAAATAGAGCCTAACACGGAAATGTAAAGGAATGCAAGGAATTATTTAAGTAACTTAATGGCCTCCGGTTAGTGGTTAGTGTTCCAGTCTGGTAGACCGAGGCAGTGGTTAAGGAGCCCATAACAGGCCCGATAGAGACCTATGTAGGTGTATTTCTTCGGATTATATGTATACATATCCACCTTTCAAACTAACTAATTAAGTAACTTAATACCCATTACTTTGATGTTAAACCGGTAGTTGATTTTTTATAAAAATATATGTATATAAAATATCGAATATGAAATTTGCACCAATTTAGTTCTATTGGATAGTAGTTCAGACATTTTTTTTACATTTTTGCAAAACATGTGTTTCTTCTCATCTATGTAACTAATTGTAGAAAAACTATTTAAAAATTGAAATCCCCCATATTTAAATACTGTCATTGAAGGTGCATAATTAGAGTATGTAATGCATGTAATGTAGATGAAAGTATGCTAATCTATGTACTAATACATTTACTACAAATTCTTAAAAATTAACTTGAAATGTTGCACAACCCCGTTGTTAAATGGGACTTTGTATTTTTTTGTTTCTGATTTATAATAATTTTTCTTGTTCTTTTTTTGTGTTGGTGTTCGCATTTTCTACTGATGTTGCACATCTCCAGAAGGCAACAAAACAAGTGGTTTATAATGTACACTGACGCTGGCAAAACCGCAACTTTTAGCTGTATTGCAACGGAAGTGGTCATTGTAAAAACTTGGCGGCGATGGTGGTTGTTGGCGGTGGTAGAAGTGATGATGATGTTGTTGGCGGTAGAAGTGGCGTTGGTAATGAATCGCAACAAAAAAGAAATTTGTTTTTTATTTAAAGGTTGCCTGCCACCAGTCGTTTGGCAGGGTTTAGTTCTGCTGATTGTGTACGCGTTTGTATGTATGTAAGTATGAGTCTTTAAACTTCTTTGTCATAAAAATAATTTTACTGTTAGTAAAATTTTTTCTGCACACACTTATATGTATTTATGCAGCAAAAAAGCAAAGATGGGTAAAAGCTGTAACAACAAATCATTTTGTTTTTATTTGTATTTTTTGTGTTTGTAACCCACAAACATGCAACCGAGCGACCGACCAGCATCTCCATACTTGTGATTGTTTGAGTGTGTGGCGGAAATTCCTTTTTCTTTCTGTCCATCTCTATTATGTTTTCCTGTCCCTTTGCCGCTCCATTCCAACCAAGATCCACAAGTGGTAAAAGCCAAAAATTGACTCTTTGACATTATGTTCATCGTCATCATCAGACATTTTCAGATGGCTGGCAAGCGTGTCTTCATTGCTGCCATTGCACTCACAAAGTGACACTTTATGTTTAGCCCTCAAGTGTACTTTTGCATCTGGAGTGACCTCCTCCTCCCTATTTTATATTTTCTTGTTTGTTTGTTCGTCCGTTCTACCAGCTGTGGTGGTGTTTCTCAACAAATACACGCACACAAACAGTCCCACATCGGAAAAATTAGTTTTTACAAAAATCTAGGAAGTGCATGGATATAAACAGTGCAAATTAGTCTTGCCATGTTTTTTCATTCTTGTTTGTTGTGCTGGAAAACTGATTGCAAAAATAGTAAACTAAAGAGATATTGTGACTCAGACATAGAGACAGAGACAGAAAGAGGGCGAGGGCGAGAGAAAAACAACAGGAGATTGAACAAAAATACTTACTACTAATATCATGCATACACATGCACAGATACTGTGCATAGATAGATATGTATGTGGAACATGTGTATGTGTGTGCAAATTTGTGTTCTGAGTAAAAAAAGATGTTGGTTGAAGTATTTGTCGAAAAGATTTGTACAAAAGATGAGTTGAGTTGTGTGTAAGTGAACTCTGTTAAAAACAGTTTTTTGCCGTATCGGTTTTTATTTTTTGGATTTATTTTGTTGGATTTTATATTGGCAGTTGTTGTTATTTTTTGATGCTCTAAGTAGTGGTAGGGAATTTCTCAGGGGTTGAGTTTAGTAGGGAAAATATAAATGTAAATTTGATAAGATTAGCTTAAGAGCAGCAAATTGGCTAAGAGGGAGTCGGAACAACAACAACACGAAAAACCAACAAAATGTTTCTTTATTACTCGTATTACTATGAATGATGAAAGGATCATTAAACTTAAAGTATTTAACATGATTTGGGGTTTGTGAAAGTGTCAAACATTTTTTGAACAAATACGAAATGAATTTATTATGAGTTTTAAAGTTGACTAAAAACTGAATTTCAGTTATTTATTAAGTTTTCTTCTTTTCATCTTTACTCTCTGTCAAGTCATGCTAGTAGAATGATTAAAGCAGCATATTGTTGCCAAGTGAATAATTGCATAATTTTAAATTTAAAGAGAAACTTGCATTAAAAATATGGGATTTTACAAACTAAAAAAATGTATATTTATGTATATGGTTTTAAAAGTGTATCTTTTGATTTAGTTTCAGTGCAACTGGGTGTGGTGTGTCTGTCTAAGTTTCTCCAATACTACTACTACTACTGCTACTGCTACTGCTAAAGCCATAAATACATAATATTTCATAGATGATTGTGCAAATATGCAACATACAAACATATACAAATATACACATGTTCATGTGAGCACTCATGTAAGCCACAAACTTTCATACATAAATATTGTTTATATATAAATCCCCATACAATCTCCATTGTACGAGTCCGCATCCACACATATACTAACTCAAGTTAATTTATGCTGCTAGTGTGTGTTGTGTATGTAAATCAATAATATTTTTGTATCATCATTTAAACCTGAATGATTTTTACCAACCAAATGCAAACTCTATGCTCCACATATTAGTATCGTAGCGAAACACCATGCAACACCAACCAACACCATACGAGAATCAACAAAGGATACCAAAAAAGTTTTAGTCGTAAAATAAAACACTAGTAGTTGGACAAGAAAAAATATGACTGTTCATCAAAAATAGTTGAAGAAACTAGAAAAAATAGGAACCCGACATAAGAGTACTACTAGCAGGAAAGGGGCGCTCGCAAAAAATGAGCGAAAAGAAAAAGAACTATAATCATTCTTCACAGCATATTTCGTGACTAAGCGACTAAAAGTAATGGTAGAAAAACTTTTCGTAACAAATTGTAACAAAAAGTTTTCGTTTTTTTCTGTTTGGCTCTTCTTTTACCATTTCATTTTATTTCTTTCCTTTTTTGTTTTGTAATAATAGTTTTTGTTAGTGTAAGCATAAAAATTACAACATACCAACATTCAACATACTACACACACATATACATACATACTTGTTTCATTGCTTACTTTTTACGAGCACAGTTGCCTGAATGGTTAATAATTCGGTAAGGTTACAATGATTATCAAAACTTATCAAATAATTATAGCATTTATTTCACTTTTCATATACATACATATATTTACATGTCTACAAGAAAATTTCACTATGCCTTCGAAAGAATTAAAGGCATAATTTCATAATGTAAGAAACCCAATTGGAAATTGTCATTCTTCATGATAGATATGTTTCAGAAAAATCGTGTTAGTGAAATTGGAAAATTTATTATGAAAAAATATCGATCATATTTAAAAAAACAATATGTTCTTAATTTGCTCTCAACAGAAAACGAGATACGGACATAGCTAGATCGTCTTTGAATCAGAATGTGTAATATTAATATATTACGAAAGTTTTTTATATCAATTTATTGAAATTTGAATAACAAATGTTTAATATTGTTTTTTACAGTTCTACTTAAACATTTTCTTAGAGATTAAGAGATTTCCTACAAGGTTAGCAAAATTACTCGTAAACAAATATCTATTGCTGTTAAAATATCATAAAGACTTCATGAAATCAGTTTACATTATGGTAAATCTGCTGATAAGCGCTCCTATTCAATTTGATTACTTGTAGTTTTCTTTTTGGGGGGTTAAAAAGACAAAAGTTGATTGAAAAAAAAAAACAAAACTTCGCTTCGAAATCAAAATACAACCACTGTGTGTGGTGACGGAAAACATCAGAAATGGTGACACATATTTCTAAGGAATTTAATGTGTACGACTAAGAGTATGAATTCCATTTACATTGTTTGTTTTTCATTCTTGCAGTTCTTTTTCTAACACATAAAGAATATTGCCACGCAACTTGTTGTTGATGTTTTTCTACGAAAGGTCTGTTTAATCAGTGATAGTGATACTAACCTGCAATATCATCATAACCCAGTGCGATGTCATCCACATGCCCATTTGCATCCGGTACTTGGATACTAGTTATGGTGGCACCCAAAGAAATAACCTGTTTGTTTTTTTGTTCGTGTTGTTTTTATTGTTGTTTTCAGTTTATGAAAAGAAATGGAACAGTGTTTGAATGACCATCCAACAGCCAGCAGTGCGAAGGTATTTTTTATTATCACAGTCATAATCGTTATCACCAGCATCATTTGATAATGTTACCATATTCCAAGAAATTTTAAGTGTGAATGTGCAACAACAAAGTATTTTTGTTGCCACATTTTATGGGAAATCATGCAAAAAATTAAAAGGGAAAAAGTGAGAAACAAATTAAGAAAGTTGTTAAGAAGTCAAGTGTAGAATTTTGTCTAAAATATAAAATGTAAAACAGAAATCCATTAAATATACTACCAGGTTTATAGCGACAGACAGACGGACAAACAGACAAAAATAAGAACACTAATAATAAAATAAAACAACAAGAAATACCGAAATAAAACTGCAGCAGGAAATGTACGGGTAAAAACTTAAAATGTTGTGTTTAGTGGTTAGAAAATTGGCTGTGGTGTTTTGGTTTGGTTAAGTTGGGTTTCACTTTGAATTTGTTTGTCTTTTGGGAGGAAGGAATTTATGACGTAGGAAGAAATCTTAAAATTTAATTCCGCGTTTATACACTGGAGGATTAGACGTAGTGAAATATATTTATTTTGTTTTATTTTCTTAAGAAGAAATATCTTTTTATCAAATGTTCGTAATACTTTTAGCTTAATAAATAAAATTTAAAAATTTTTCAAGCATAAGGTGAAGGATGAATATGAATTTTTTAACAAGAAGATGAAAATAATAATCAACAGTCTTTTTTTTATATTAATGGGTGACTGCTTTCTAAACTAATGTATTATGAATTTACAATCTTGTCATTTTAACAGTTTTACAATCAATCAAATTGATTATGTTTTCCCCTTGAAAAAGGGGAGACAAAATTATTGTATTATTTTGTGTTTAGAACACAAGTAAAAGGGAAATTTATTGTAAATAAACCAAAATTAATTAAATTTTTATTATATATGTATTATTTTTAATTATAACCCTGTCTCGTCGAAAATTTGCGTATTTATGAACGTTAACACTGTATTCTAAAATGACATTTAGAACATGGAAGTCTTTAAGCATAAATTTTCAATCATAAACATAAATTTTGTTAATTTCTGTCCTTTAAATACAACTTTGTAGTAACGGAAATAAATTTAATTTAGTTGTCCCTCTTATTTAACATGCCTGGAAAAGAAAATAAACTTCTTGGAATTTTTGTAGATTTTTAACAAGACTTAACAAAGTATTTAGTTGAAAATTTAAATTGTAAAAGATTTTAAATCTTTTATTGTCAATATAAAACTAAGTGTGTCATAACAATTAATCTCTAGCCAAGAATAAACTTGTAAATGTTGAATACTTAGTTGACGAATGTTGTTTCTTTTGAACTTTTTAACGATTCTATTTTTATTTTTTCATTTTTCTTTCTTTTTCTTCCCAAGAATCTATTAAATAATGTCCATGTTGATGAGTAAACTTATAAATGGCAACAACAATGGTGGTCTAAAATGAAATTCTTAAAGTTCAATATGAATTTCGTTTTTAAACATTTTATCAATCAATTTAACGTTGACAGAATTCTAAAGATGGAACGAATTTTTATTTTCTATTTGTTTACTTATTAGGTGTTTAATTTGTGTACATATGATATTGTTTGTAAACAATAAATATAAAAAATTATAAATTTTAAAAAGGTACTCAAGTATTTTGTAAAAAAAATCTGATAAATCTATCTGTTAGAACAGTGTGCAAAATTATATTTAAACTTGATGCAAATAAAATTTAATTATACTCACTTGTACTTTCATTTCCATATCATTTTGCAGAGTAAAGCGTTTGATTTGTTCCGATTGTTTGGTCAATGGATTAATAGCTGTTCCAAAAACATCTTCTATAACACGTACCATTTTAGTTATTTATTTTACTTTTTTACAGAAACGAAAAAGAAATAAATATATGTATATATTTATTTTAATGAAAATATATTGTCTATTTAAAGAAAAACTTTTCAAAATTTATTAGTCTGTAGTATTTAGTAAAATTATTAATAAAAATTTATAGTGTTGCTAAACAGCTGTGTGCGATGTGTGTAGACGATACAAAAGTTCGCGAAGCAAACTAAAGTCTTAGACAAGCAAAGAGCGTGTTTTATATATTTTTTTATTCTTTTATTCATAATTTTTTATTGTTATCAGTAGATGTTGTTTTTTATGAAAATATATGTATGTTCGTATTTTTAAGTGTAAAAACTTGAGGTTGCCACATAGGAGAATCTATATATACATATATATAACAATCGGGTATAGCTTTACCCCAGTTTTTTTAATAAGAATTTAAATTTAAATTTAATTTATCTGTTATGTATGTAATATTTACATATCTGTACATATGATTTATATTTATGTACATATTCTGTATTACTATATAAAAATTTAATTACTATTAACTAAAGTTTATGTTGTTGAGAATTCAGTGTTTCTTTATTTTGTAAATGGGAATAATATTTAATGTTAAAACTGTGGCAAGTCTGCATATATGCATTTATTCTAAGAGAGTAAACAAACTAATTCTTTATCAGAGATGATAAAAAACGGTGTCTTGCTATAAAACAGAAAAGTAAATTATTAAATTCTATGTCTTTTATCGATAAATTTTAGATTTGGTCCATGGCAGTACACATATTAGCATTTCAAAAGATGCTATATGTCCACTAATCTGTGAGATGGCATTTTTGCAAGTTCCAGATCTAAACAAATCGAATATAAGTTATACTAATTTAATTTCTGATTGTTTTTTTTTTTTTGTTCATCAAAACTTATATATTTCGAATTAGGATGTGGCTTCGTCTAAGTCCATATATTAAACAATTATGGATCTCTAGTATTTGGCTGATACTTATTGAACTCTTAAGGTATTGTATGATGATTTAATATTTTTAAAGTTCTGGCAAATATTTAATTATTTATTTAAAAACAAAACATTTGAGGTTTTGTCCTGAACTGACCCAACTTAATAATTAATGAAGAGTCAATAGTTGATAATTAAAACAAAGAACAAAAATACAAAATATATATTTTTTTAATTTTCCTTGCGGTTTTATGCGACCAGTATTAAGTTGGATTAAATTGTAATTTTGGTAATTTTTGATAAACAACTAATTTCACATTTTAAGCAAATATACCCCTATAATTGTCCGATAATGTACATACATAAAGCTCTAGTATTTGCATTTATGCAAATATAATGGACAGACAGCAGAGATGGAGACTTTTTACCTTATCGAATTGTTATACGAGGATTGTTGATAAATTCAAATTGAGTAGTCTGTGCTAATATTATACGAGTGAATTATGAAAATAAATTACTTTTAGAAGATTTATATAAAATTGAGTTTGTATTACGATCAACATTGAAAATGGCACGTTTTCTTTTTGAAAACCATTCATAAACCAAAGTGGCAAACGATAGTCTAGTGATTTTCTGAAGGCCTTGTATAAGGGTCTATGGTTTGGTTTGGTAATTTATTTATTTAAAATGAAATATGCGTATGTGTTTATTAATATTAAATGTCAATAATTTCTTAGTGAGAAACTAATTTCCTGAAAGAACTATGTACATTTTAGAACCTAAATTGTCAAAGCTTTTCATGCCGAGTTTTGTTGCGATACTTATATATAAAATTCAAATATATGTATTTACCTGTGCATTCTGAACTTTTATTTCAAGAATTATGTATTATTATAAACTGATTTTTATAAAGAATTATGTCATAGCTAAAAGCCATAATATATGTATCTTTAATGTCGAGTAGTGTACAAGAAGCGAAGTGGTATATGTGAACTACCGCCCCCTTTGTGCGGTACCCATTAAAAAATTAGATTAGTGCTCATAAATGTAAAAATGTACTTTTTGCCTCCAAAACTGGCCATTCCGCCTATAGTACATTGCTGTATCGTTGCATAACTATCAAGATACGACGTATTCGATATACCGAAACACGAATTCATCAAATAAGACAACACACACATACCTGGATAAGGAAAGAAATTCAATGGTATCACTTGTAAAGGATAACTTTCATCCATTACCATTCGACCCAGCACACTTCTAATTCATCCAACACAGTCGCTCTAAGTATACGGGTGGGTAAGGTCCGCATACCCCTGTATATTCAATTCCAACGCTTAGTCCCACACTCAATCCTCTGCGGGATATCTGTTGTCTCGGCAACAGCACCGAACTTATACATTATTATATACTCTCGGGACAAGGGACAAGACAAAATCCGACATTCTGCCCTGCTGTCCTGTTCCTGTGCTAACAGATTATGTGGTTCCTAGCTTACGAGGAGCAGAAAAGGATGTCATCTCTAATTTGCATTTTTCATAAACTATTTTCAGATACATATGTACATATCTCCGCCGGTTTATTAAATTATTTGCAATGAAAAAAAAAATACCGTAATAAATTTTTAAAGTAAAATTATTCATATTCGAAAATATTCTCATATAACTCTAAACTTTTTCGTTTCTAAAATTCATTTTACGTTAAAAAAATAAATTGATTGATTTTCCAATTCAGTGCAATGTTTGTTACCTTTTTGCACTTTTCTGCAACTAAAACTGGGTGTTACGCTGCTGTCAAATAGAAATCTTGATAACCTGTCAGGAGTGCATAAAATTTTGTGCACATATGTATGTACATTAGAGGGGCCCCAAAATGAATGTTCCCACCGAAAATGAAAATTTAGTTCTTTTGCCGAAATGTTTTTTTTTCTGTTTTCCAAAATTCCATCTAGTTAGTAATTTATTTAAATTATTATTCCCAACATCAAAAAAGATGGGGGTATATTGATTTTGTCATTCCCTTTGTAACACATCGAAATATTGGTCTAAGACCGTTACTAAATTCTAGCCATGTTCGTCGTTAAAATCACGATAGGAACCACACGGGAAGTGCTAGATAGTTGAAATTTTGTCCATGATTTCGCCTGGCCCCCATAAAAATGTCCGCTAAAAATAGTGTTTGAAGGGCCATAAATTAGTTAATTATGCAGCAATCGTGATAAAATTTTACTCAAATAGTAGTGTATGGTGGACATTGGACCATTATTGACCCCACCTCTCATATAAGATCCCCTTCAGAAAATTACATTTACACTCATAACTGGCTTGTAATACCAATATACACCGACGTAATTCAACATAAATAAGTTTTACAGCAACAAAAAACTTTACACCAAATTTTATTAAGAACGAAACATAAATGACCCTACCCCCTATGAGTTTAACACTCATAACTATATTTGATCTTTACTTTTTTAATCCTTTGACCCTGTTCATCAAATACATATTGGTTCTAAGATAAAAAATTTTGAGATATGGTACCTTAATATCTAGTGGGACACCTGTACACTATTTTTTCTCTACACAAACGGGGCCAACCCTACAATAATATGTACATAAATTGAATAGTAGATGGGCTCAAAGCTCAATTCCCAGCTCTGCAGAACACTTGACAAACGCATTTATGTATGTATGTATATATGCCCAACCTATTTGCTTATGTACTGTGTATGAATGGTTGTTTGTTGATGTTGATTTGCATTGTGTTTTCACTCTTACAAAAACCAAAAACTGCAACATCACAACAAGTGACAAACATTTATTTTGTGGTTCTCTTTGAGCATTTTGCATTTACAAGTTTTGTGTTGAGTATTTGTTTTTGTTGCTGTTTATTTTTCTTGTCGTTGTTGTTGTCGTTTTAGTTGATTTGTTTACTTGAGGTATTTGCGGAACTTTTCGAGTTTTTATGCAAAAATAAAGTGATAAAGAAAACAAATACAAATAACAAAAAAAGTATAGTATAGAGTGATAAAGAAAAAGTTTATTTAGGAAAAATTATCAAAAAGGCAAAAAATAAAAATATAAAATAAAACATTCCAGTAAATACACTAAAACCAGTTGTAGTTTGAAAAACTTTTACTGGCCAACAATGTCCTTGAGTCCTGAACTGTGTTGCTCTCACCGGTGTTTAAAATTGTGTTTATTAAGTAAAAAAATAATAAAATCTGTTTATTTGTGAAAATTTCAAAGTTTTTAAAATGAATTCTACTTTTTCATTTTGTTGCAAAGTAATTAGTTTACTACAAATGTGTTAAACAAATTTTATACAATTATGTACCACAGATTTTGAGATGTTACATTTAATGTATTTTATTTGTAGATATAATTATAATATAGGGTAAGAAATACATTACTCTATTTTATGGAAAATACCGCGCCTATATATATGTATGTATATATAAAAGAATATATGAGTGTATTTGAGGCTACTAAAATAGTTGATTAAACATTCATAAAATCGTCAGAGTTCGTAGAGTAAAATTATCTTTTCAATCCAATTAAACAATAAATATTTATTTTTGACACATAATCTAATACAATTAACCTTAACTATTTTGAAATTCTTTCCTATTTAAACATTTAATAATTTTGTGTTTATAGAACACTGAGCAAATTTGAATATAATTATCATTAAATTAGTGCAGCATCAAAATTAACATCATTTATTAATAATTTATTACGAAAACATTTTTTTGTTGCAAAATTTTGCATAAAATTAGAAATTTACAACGTGTTTGTATTGCTGTAGTTATTCGATTACATATAATATTTATTTACTACGACTACTACAAAATTTTAATGAAAATTTAAACATTTTACTTCATTATATTTAATTAATTTAATCTCTTGTCCAATGCATTTAGTTTAGGTAATAATTTTTGATTAATTCAAAATTTTAGCAAATTATCATAATTTTTAATGAGTTTTTGATTTTTTTCTCTTTTTATTAGTTTAGTTTTTAATTTGTCTATCCGCAAAATTTTACCATAATCACATTGTAATTACTAATTTCCAAATACACACAAACAATATTGTGTGTGTATTTACACACATAAATATGTTTGGCATTGATGTTGCAGTTGAAGTTGTTGCTTCTGCTGTTCTTTTATATTTAACTAGCTATACCCAGTGTGCTTCGCTACCCTCATCGTAATGAAATAAAATAAATATTATTGTAAATGTATATATATCTGCAATATCAAAAAGTCCCCT